CCGTAAGCTTTTGAAGTCGTTAAGACTAATCTTACTTATTATAAAACGCAGATTGTGTGTGTGTCTGTACGTTTATATATTGGATCGGATTTCCTACATTTTTCAACCGATTTCAACAAAACTTCACAAGACTACGTAAATTTATATTGCAGTAGTTCTGAAAGCGCCAAAAATTGGAAAAACACAATTGTTTTTGCACGAAATCAATTTGAAAACACAATAAAACACGATTCTGTCGTCAGAATGAAAGGGGGATAACTCATATCGAGTTATACTTATTATAAAACCCAGGTTGTGTGTGTGTGTGTGTGTGTGTGTGTGTGTGTGTGTGTGTGTGTGTGTGTGTGTGTGTGTGTGTTCGTTTATATACGGGGTCGGATTTCCTACATTTTTCAACCGATTTCAACAAAACTTCACTTTTTTTTTTGGCAGGTAGTATTTCTTATTGTCTTGCACACTTTTGTCTTTATTTTTACATTCAGAATGCTTTAAAAATTCCATTTACAAGACAACTGTTTATAATAAAATTCTATTCAATCGATAGACTCATAACGATTGAAAACAATGTTTTTGTTTGAGTTTGGGTTTGACCAATTCGTAAAAAAAAAAAAAATAATAATTAAGACATGCGTGTCCGTCAACCTTAAACAATAATCCGTGTCAATTTTATTTTTCAGTCTTTATGATGGTCGATACTTGATCTATCTCTTACTGTTACATCCCCGGGCAACGCCGGGCTCTACTGTTAGTATTAGATAAATTCGATATTTTGTCTTAACGATGAGTTCTTGCCGCTCATTTCATAAATTTGATAGGGCTTGTCTAATCACGTTTTGCTGTCAAGTGTTCCATCCCAGTAAAAGGTGGCCTTACTGCAATATTACGTTTAAACACCGGTTCTCCTCTGACCATCGAAGTTAAACAACGTCGAGCCTGATCAGTATCTAGGTGGGTGACCGTTTCATTGATTTAAACTTGGATGTTTGGGTTGTGCAATGGATGCCGGCTCAGAATTAGATATCGCAGAGTTCTGTCAGTTTTGTTATATTTACTTACGCGCAAATCCTTTTGGGAAATGTATGAATCCATCTCATTTCTTCCAGCACTGTGTTAATTAATAGAACATGCAGCAATAAAAATTATTTCTGTTCACCCCCCAAAAAAAAATTCTACAGCCTAAAAATACTTTCTGATTTTAAATAACCTGCAAAAGATTGAAAGGCCGTAAGAATCAAATCGATCAAAGCTTGTATAAGCTAATAAAAAATAATCTAGTTCACCAGCGGCGAAAGGTACTGGATTTACCGGAGCATGTAAATAACATATTAACCTAAAACATTACGTTAGATTCTTATATACCAAGTCAGATCGAGACATTCATATCGTTCTAAAAATTTCTAAATTATCAGGCAAAAAAAAAAGTGCTTTCTCATATGAATAATAAAAGAAAATGGATTCAGGGAAATAAAGCCGTAAGATGGTGTTACACAATTTCAAACAAAGAACTATATAACAAGAACCACAACACTTCCGGACATCCAAGAGCAGCAACGACTCAAATGTATAGCACGTATAACTAGAAGAGTAAATGTTTATACAATCAAGATGTTACATTCCACACTACTTCAAAAAAAAGTAGAAAAATCAGTACAAAAAACAACATAATACTTACTGGGCGTTGGGCACCTCGAGGTGGTGTAATGGTCAGCAAGCTTGTCTCGCTAGAACAATTACGACTGAGTAGTGATTCTTACTGGGTGCCCTCCTTAATTTCGGCCTTGTGCCACATCTAAGCTATGCCTGGAAAATCACTATTGGGGACCCCGAGGCGGTGTAATGGTTAGCAAGCATGTCTCGCTAACACAGTTTCGAATAAGTAGTGAGTTCGATACTCACTGGGTGCCCCAAACGTTCGGTCTTGTGCCACATTTAAGCTACGCTTGAAAAATCGCTACTTACTGGGCGCCAGAAACCTATTTTCATGAAAGTTTCTTTACTACAATGATTATAAAAAATGTCAGCTGAAAGTAAATGTGGCTGCTTGATTAAGGAATACCAACAATTTCTATATAAGTTGCCTTATATGGAAATATTTGTCTAATATCTTCACCCCCATATCAGTCAAAGACGCCTAAAAATGTCCGGGGGATATTTGGCCGAAATTATATTTATATAATAAGTCCTATAAGAATCAAGTTGATAACACTAGTCCAAATGAATGGAGGAAGGGAAAGTACAGAATTTATCTGCTGACTGATATTATTTGGCAGTCTCAATAATTAATGAAAATATGTAATTTCTCAAAACTACATCTACTGCCCCTCACAGTAAAAAACTTTACAATTAAGATTTTAATTTACTTGTTGTTGTTGGTGGTGTTGTTGTTGTTGGTGTTGTTGTTGTTGGTGTTGTTGTTGTTGGTGTTGTTGTTGTTCTTCTTCTTTTTCTTCTTCTTCTTCTTCTTATTATTATTATCATTATTATTATAACCCCGAACGAGACAATGAGTCCACTAAGAGACAAGGGTTTGAATGAATACGAGAAAGAAATACTTTATTACAGAGAGGAGACAATAAAAGAAGATGAATCAAGAAGACAGTATATAACGATTGACATTGCATATAAACATTTGAAATTCATAGTTGGCTGAAAAGGAAGAAGCCGTGAGAAATGTCTACAAGCGAGAATTACAAGAAAAGAAATTATTAGCAAAGAAATTACAAATGCATCTAGCAAATTCAATTGGCCAAATGATGAGAATTTTTGCCAATATAGCACTATGGTCAATTCTCAAAGTTTAGGCAACATATGATCATCAGAATCATTACCATGAAAGTATTTATAGAAAAGGAAAAGGGAAGATATATCACGGTGGTGTGAAAGTGACTGAAGCCGGGATGTTATTATTGGTTTGGTTTGGTTTGGTTTGTTTTGCGGGATATCAACGCCAATGAGTTATTTAATGCCGACAAGATTTCATTGCTGGTAATATATATATATTTAAATGTATAGCTGTAGTTCTTTTCAAAAATGTAGTGCTCGTAATAATGTATAGCTGGTAATCATTTTCTTCAAATATTTATTGCTGGTAATAATTTGTTTACAAAGTATTTCTCGCATTAAAAGTTATTTTTTACGCTTTCACAGCGTTTCGACCCTGTTTGGGGGTAAACTATTTACCCATAGCTGGGACCCCTACGGGTACTACCACCTCGAGTCGAGGTGGACAAGGGAACACCAGCAGTTAGAGGTGGTTCCACCCATCTAAAAAGCTTCTGATCAGAGGCCTTGTTATTGGACGTAGTTACCAAGGACGCGTCTTATCCAGGACGCGTCTTACCCAGGACGCGTCTTACCCAGGACGCGTCTTACCCAGGACGGATAAAATATCTTAATAAGTGATGTGAAATGTCACAAAGGAGCTATGTCAATGAAAATATATTTAAACAGATGACTTCTTAGGTTATATATTTCAATGTTGAATAATACATTTCTTTTAGATTGCGACAATGATTTCAGAATCGCTAATCAGAAAATGACAAAAATGCAAACATGAGTCTATTTGAAATCCAGTTGCATAACACTTTCTTTTATAAGCAAGTGAACACTGCACAGCAAAAAACCGATATACCTAAAAAGATTTTCATGGATGTAAGACATCGTGAGATAATTGATGTATATTATTTTGAATTTGTTACGAGTTCCATTATATACTTGGATGTTAACGAGGCAGCTTTCAGTTTCTGTCTGCTGTAATACAATTAATGAATCCGAACTCGTGGAACCCAGTCAAATACGAAGGTCAGAATACCACACGCAGTTGACAGGAAATCAAAAGAAGAATTTGAAATACATATGCGAAATGGTTTTTATATTCATTTCACTAAGCTAATCATACTTTTCGGCCCAAAGATCGTGAAATTCTAGAAGACAAAAAGAAGTAAAAACGAAATTGGTTAAAATATGTAAAACGACAGACTCACACACCTGAAGACAAAAGGAGATAAAAACAAAGTAAATACTTTGAATGAAAAATTCATTAAATTGCATCATGAGAAAGAAATGGAGGATTATCGTTGTAATGAGTTATATATATATATATATATATATATATATATATATATATATATATATATATATATATATATATATATATTATTATTTATTATTATTATTATTATCATTATTATTAAATGGACAAGATCCGACAATTACTTTAATGTATTTTTGTTTATACTTTATTTTTATAAGGTACAAATATTTAAGTAATTTATCCTTTTAGCATAAACAGTATAATTAACAGTATTGCAGTTTACAACAGTAATTCGACCATTCTATTAAATATTTGCATCTGTAAAATAACGTACAAACAATACATATATATATATATATATATATATATATATATATATATATATATATATATATATATATAATATGGAACTAGTCGGGCATTTATTTTTAAATAATTTTAAATTTTTAAAAATTTGTTTATATGTTATTTTATAGATACAATATTTAAATAAATTATGTTTATAATGAACTATTATCAGGATAATTAACAATATTGTAGTATAATAAGAGTAATTCTGCCTTTCTATTAAATATTGGTATCTCTAAAAATAACGTATATATATATATATATATATATATATATATATATATATATATATATATATATATATATTTTGAGACTACTATTATTTGAGTAGATGCTGCGTTTATTTATTTATGAAACAGTACATTTACTTATTTTTGTCTACCGGCCTGAATATTCGAGAATTCGGAGTAAAATATGAAAGATTAAATGAAAATTTAAAATTCGTCACCAAATTTATAACCACCTCTGCTTTAGTAAAGTCACAGAATACTTTGATTTTTTTCTTCCATTTAATGATTGCATTTCTTTATGTATTTTTCCCACAAGAATAAGTGTTAACAATTTAAATTTAGGTCATTTTTAATATTCAAGCGTTTTTAACTTCTGTCTCGGCATGTATATGTTCTGTTTTCCTCTCCCCACTCACTACTTTAGTATTTCTTTTCCCTCCTTTTTTCTTCTCCCTCTACCTATCTACCTCGTAAAAGCCTTTCTCCTTATTTGCGTTTAATCCTGTTTTCCTTTCTTTTTTCTTTTTTCTTTTATCTCCGTCCTTTTTTAATTGAATCGTAAATTTTTATCTTTTAAATTTAAAAAAATAAAATAAAATATTACGATTCAATTTTTTATTTTTTCTTGAAGCGAAAATCTTTTTGCATCTCATGAAGTCACACATGACTACACGAGAGTCAATTGGAGAATTATGAATTATGGAAGCCTTTGATATATATATATATATATATATATATATATATATATATATATATATATATATATATTATAAATTAATTGATTTAAAATATGTTTTTTTTCGCTACACAGTTCTAACCATGTTTCAAAAATAGAAGCTAAAAGACCCGAATTTAATTTTGCAATTAAATTAAAAGCATTAATATTAATGCTCTGTAAATTTACATTGAGCACTATTTTGTAAAAATAAAAATATCTATAAGAACACCGGATTTTATATCTTACTGTTATAATAATATAATAATATTATATATATATATATATACAGAGAGAGAGAGAGAGAGAGAGAGAGAGGAAGGGAGGGACAGGTAAAATAATACGTGGTTAAGTAATCCAGCTACATTCTATTAATATAAAATATTAAAACTTATCCACAAGAGAGAGCTCAATATAATTTAAATAAATGTGAACTGTATTTGTATTGATAAGTATTGTAATACACACACAGAAACACACCCACATATATATATATATATTAAGAAATGGACAAGGTCCGACAATTTATTTATTAAAGACATATTTTTATAGATACAAGTATTTAAGCAAATGCTCTGTTTATGATAAACAGTTTAAATAACATTTACCGGCCTGAATGTCCGAGAAATTTTCATAGAAAATTTTCGTTCTTTGACAGGATTCGAACCTGCATCCTATACGGAACCGTCATATACGCTGACGTGCCTTTACCGCTTGAGCTACAAAAAGAACCAATCGGTAGACAAGGTCGAATTTACTGCTTATAAACTCCAACTTTCCATGAATCTCGTACATTCATAACTGCTCTGGCGTATCGAATGTAAACAAATGACGTCATATATTAAGAAATGGACAAGGTCCGACAATTTATTTATTAAAGACATATTTTTATGTTTAACGTTGTTATTTTATAGATACAAGTATTTAAGCAAATGCTCTGTTTATGACAAACAGTATTAAATAACATTTACCGGCCTGAATGTCCGAGAAATTTTCATAGAAAATTTTCGTTCTTTGACAGGATTCGAACCTGCATCCTATACGGAACCGTCATATACGCTGACGTGCCTTTACCGCTTGAGCTACAAAGAACCAATCGGTAGACAAGGTCGAATTTATTGGAAATTTGGAAATATTGAAAGTTGGAGTTTATAAGCAGTAAATTGACCTTGTCTACCGATTGGTTCTTTGTATCAAGCGGTAAAGGCACGTCAGCGTATAAGACGGTTCCGTATAGGATGCAGGTTCGAATTAAAAGAACGAAAATTTTCTATGAAAATTTCTCGGACGTTCAGCCGGTAATGTTATTTAATACTGTTTATATATTTGCTTAAATACTTGTATATAAAATAAAACGTTAAACATAAAAATATGTCTTTAATAAATATATATATATATATATGTATTGACCAAAGTTTCTATGTCTACTTCCTCAAGAAAACCGTTAGATCTGCTCTTCTTCCCAATTCAATTATGAATCGTTTATTCGTGGATTCCCATTTAACGTACTGTTCACTGTATGCGGAATGTTTTCACATAATGAAACGGCTGATATTACCATTGCCACTAACATTCAGCAGCTAAGGTAATTTCATCTGCGGGCAAGTGAATATAATATTAATTTTTAGCGACTAAATATTGGCAGGAGTTTGCTTTATAATTTCACTGACATACAGGATGGCTACATCCGAGAAGACGACAAAAACTAAGCGTTAGGTTCGATAATGAATTTCATGATCAACCTTTGAGCTTCAAACAGGCTGGCCAAGATTATAAATTTTTTGAAGAAAAGATAAAGAACAATCGAAACAACTTTAATCCTAACTCTACTTTTATCAAATAGTCACATGAAACGACTTATAGAAGAATGTTTTGAGCCTAAATAAAAGGAGAGGTAGAAATTTCCTGAATCGATATAAAATACCTGCTCATAAAAGGCATATTTACTCTTCCGTTTAAGTGAAAATTCATTGATTCTGATATGGGGGTTTATTCAACGTGGTGTAATGGTTAACAATCTTGTCATACTATATCAATGAGTAGGAAGTTTGAGACTCACAGATTCCTCCATACTTTAGCACTGAGTCATGCAGAAGTTACGTTTAGTAAATCACTAATATTCACATAATTTATTTGCACTTACAGTAATTCACTTATTTTTCTTTGCATTCAGAAACAAATTACGACTGATATAACGATTTACTAAATGAGAAAAAATTTTTTTTTTTATATATATATATATATATATATATATATATATATGTTTATTAAATTGCTTGTGCTAAAAGTTATATAAGTAATAGATTGAAAATCATGTTATTTCAAATAAAAGCTAAGGTACTCTAGTAATTCACTCGAACTTTTTTAATATTATTTTTATTTAGATTTTTTTTTAAATCAATGACGAAGGAAAGCGATCTCAAAAAAAATAAAACTGGCCAAAGCGAATTCGGTACTTCGGCTGATAAACATTTTTATCGATTTAGCGAAATTTTGCATTAATATTCATTGAACAGAATTAATTTTTAGCGGCATGTAATAATGTCTCCACATTTCATGCCTTCCATCCTTGTAAATTTCCATTTTTTTCTTCCATCGTTTTATAAAAAAAAACCCAGCTCTTTTTATTTCTACCACAGGCCGGCTGTTTCTCTTATCCTGTGACTGATCCTCGCTTTAGGTCCATTAATTCTCAATCGTCTGATTGCTTTCGTTTTTATTTTCTTTAATGACTTTTCCCTCTTTAATTATTTTTCTTTTTTGTACTACAGTACTATCAATTTAATGTTATCATTCAATTTAATCTTTCTTTCTGCTATAGTATTATCATTTTATTATTATCACTGCATTTATTCTTTCTTCCTCCATTCTTTCTTTTTTTCTACTCTAGTACTATCTATTTAGTATCAATCTATCAATATACTATTAGTATTGAATTTATTCTTCCTTTTTACTATAATATTATCAATTTAATATTATCACTCTATGTGATTTATTTCTTTCTACTATAATATCAATTTACTATCATCGTTCAATTTATCCTTTATTTATTTATTTCTATCGTAGTACTATTAATTTACTATTAACAATTATTATCCATTTATTAATTTTCTATTATCACTAAATTTTTTTTCTTTCCTCCTGCATTTCTAGCACATTCTGCTTTTTTCTTCCTATCCATCAAGTACAATCGCACTACTTTCTTTCTTTTTCCATTTCTTTTATTCTTTTCCTTCTCTATTTCATTCGCTCATTATCTTCGTCAACCTTCTTTTCCTTTCTTTCTTTATTTATTTGTACCGTTCATCATCTTAAAGCTCATATGTTTTATTCATTGATACATTTCATTTTCTAATTTCATTGTTTTTTTTTTTTTTAAATCCAGACCCTTCTAGTCGTAGGCGATCATGCCTTTCCGCATAGGAATTTATTAATTATTAGTTTTTTTTTTACTTCGTTAGAAATACAGTTTGGTTGTTTCCTGTTGTCTTCTCCACGTTTTATTAGTCCGACTTGGTCTTCTCAGTGGCTGGCTGCCACCCAAGGCTAAAGAAACCAATTTCAGCAGTTATTTAGCATTAAACCCATAACCCGGTTTGTGCTATTTCTATAATCAACTTCATTGATTCAATCAACTTTAACTTCTCTTTATTCTAAAACAACACTCATTCTTTCCTGCCACATTACAAACCTTGGATAGGGCACCTCGAGGCAGTGCAATGTTTAGCAAGCTTTTCTCGATAAAACGATTACGACTTAGTAGTGAGTTCGATCCTCCCTAGGTGCTCCTAATTTCGACCTTGTGCCACGTCTAAGCTACGCTTAGAATATCACTACAAGTCTTGAATATTTCCTGCCTTACGAGTCTGCCATTTCATACTTTCCTCCAATTTTACGTACTTCTGAAACTATAATTCTTCTCACTTTCCAGTCATTTTTTCCCATTCTCCATTTAATAAATTCCAGTGTTATGCCTTTCTCTTTTTAAGATATCCTGTTCTTTCTTTCTCAATTTGGTTTCAGCCGTTTTTTTTTTTTTTAATTTGAACTATTCGCCTTTTATTTCCTCTCTTTCCTCTTTATATTTAATCTTTCTTTATTTTTCCTTTTCTTTGCCTCCAAAACGTACAAATCATTCTCACTTCGGTTTAATTATCTCTCTTTTGTCTTCTCCCTCTCTTTGTGACATGTCCTCTTTTTCAATATTCATTCTCTTCTGTGACTCCATCTTTTTTTTCGTCTACACTCACGATCTAATGCCCTACAGCTAGATTTTACTCTGATTATATTTTATATCATTACATACCTTGATGTTTTATTCACCTGATGTATTCTCATTGAATTCACAACATTCATCATTATTCTCTTTCATTTCGTAAATTTGTTCTTATATTCCTTACATATTCTTTCCCCCTTCATCTTTTCTCTCTTTATTTTATAACATTATTCTAATTTCTAATATTCCAATTTTACATTTTTTCAATTTCTCCACCCATTCTATCCTTTCTCTGAATTCATTCTTTATTCAGACCCATTTTCCCTTCAATCACTTCTCATTGCCTTTTTTTTTTAAATCTCCTTTCTATTCCTCACATTATTCTTTCTCCTCCCATTGCCGTTTTTCTCTTGTTTCTTCTCCAATATTTCTTCCATATTTTTCGTATACCTTCTTTATTCTTTTCTTCCTCCATTCCTTCACTCATTATCTTCATCAATCTTCTTTTCCGTTCATGAAACTCTTTTCTTTCATACATTTTTTTCATATTATTCTCTTTCTTTTCGATTCTTCTCTACAATACCTATTTTTATTTTTTCATTTACCTTTCGTCATTCCTCACTTTTTTTTACCCGTACTCATATTTACAGTTGCATTTGTCTCTCCTTATTTTCTTCTATGTTTCCAAATCATATACATTTATCAGCACCTCTTTTTTGCCAGAATCTTCACATAATTTTTATTTCTCTGCCACAAATTTCTCTCTCTTTGTTAAAATGTGATGCATTATGACAACATTATAGCCAGAAATTCCATTTTGATTTAGAGGACAGGGAATTTCATAGTTGTTTCCTGTTGAATTAATTTTACTATAGCGTTTGTTTTTGTTTTTAAAACATTTTTCTTAATTCACCTTTTAAATTTCTTCCATATGCAGCTAGCATCAAACACATTTTTATGACACAGGAAGAGAATGTCGGAACAAACTACACAACTAAGGGACTAATCGACATTCAGGCTACAAGCAATGTATTAACAAAATCGGTCAATATTCCCAAAAGATCAAATTTAAACCGATTATTTGTGTCGTCGCTATTAAAATAAAACTGTAAGTCATTCTCTTAACTCCAGCATTAAAATGTCTCATGATGGAAATGCATGTCACTTTGTCACAGTAAAATCTGTTTGGTTATATAGTCAATAACAAATGATTTAAGTTTCTTTTTTTTTTTTATCCATCAATGATTTTATACTTAAAATAAATTTATTTAAAAGTCTGAAATTGTAGCGAGTTTCTAAGCGTAGCTTAGATGCGGCACAAGTCCGAAAGTATAGGGCACCCAGTGAGGATCGAACCCACAACTCCTTCCTTAATGTGCTTGCTAACCGTTAAACCGCCTCGAGGTGGCCAATGTCTGAAATTGTAGTTGCCATTGAAATTGCATATATATATATATATATATATATATATATATATATATATATATATATATATATATATATATATATATATATATATATATATATATATATATATATATATATATATGCAGAAAATAGAAAATAACACGTTGGGTGCATAATCCGGAGTTACTTATTATTTTTGTTTTTATTTTTTGAGAAGACAGTGCTCCGTACAGAAGTAGAGCTTATATTATAATATTTTTGTTTAAAAATATGATTCCTTCGCTACATAAGAGTTCTCATGTTTCAAAAACTAGAGCCGAAACCATCCAAATAATTATTAAAATTAAGTTGAACTGAGGTGTTTAGTCACGTTTCATCTTGAAGCGAAATTTTAGGAATAAGAATTTTAATAATTATTTGGATGGTTTCGGATCTCGTTTTTGAAACATGAGATCTCTTATGTAGCGAAGGAATCATATTTTTAAACAAACAAATATTATAATATATATATATATATATATATATATATTATAGAGCAAAAAATTCCAACATAACTGGTGTCGGTATAGTCTATTTCAAACTAGCACAAACATATGCCTGTCCTTCTCAGCAATGGTTAGGCTATTCTGAAATAGACTCTACTCACATGAGGCAATTTTGTATTTTTTTGTTGTATAAAATATATGCTCTGTTATAATAAATACATTGAGCTCTGTCTGATATTTAATTAATAAAGAATTATTGGGAAAAAATCATGACACCGCATCCCTCTCCAGGGAGATATCGAGGCGAAATATTTTACTAAGACATTTGACGAAGAAATACATGCCTGAGAAAACCTCGGGGGTAATAACAGTATTACAAATGCAATAGGAACGAAAAACATTTCACTTCAAAAGCAACATTGACCTCCTCAGATCATTAAGTTTCCTCATTCTCAGCTGACTCTTGAACACATATAATCCATTATATATATATATATATATATATATATATATATATATATATATATATATATATATATATATGTGTGTGTGTGTGTTGTGTGTGTATATATATATATATATGTATATATATATATATATATGTATATATGTATATGTATATATATATATATATATATATATATATATATATATATATATATATATATATATATATATATATATATATATATATATATATATATATATATATATATATATATATATATATATATATATATATATATATATATATATATATATATATATATATATATATATGAAATCAAATTTAATGTAAGAAATTCCTATGGCAGTATGCTACATTGGAGGAGCTCATATTAAGGTCATCAAACGTATTATTTAACGTAAGGTCAAACATTTCAATATACCGATCCCTCCCCCCCTCATTGTCCCATTTCCTTGCGACTACCATGGCTAGGTAGGAAGAGTCAAATACTCGCGGACAGGGTGTCGGCGTGTATTACATCAGCATTTTTGACTGTTAGATTGCGAGTTGTTTTTGAGACCCGTTCGAAGTTTTCCTCTTTCGTTAAACATTGTCTATCGCACTTTCAAAATAGTTCTATTGCATAAAATACCAGTGCCATGCTGAATACGTGGGACGGAACAGTCTGAGACTGACCAACATATTCCTGCTAATATAAGATTAGGTAATCTCTGTAATTCTTCCAGAATAACTCAGTCTGCACACGACTCAGCAATAAGCCAGCAACTGTGAACCAACACTTACTGAGCTGATGAGTACGATGATGCTTTTTTCACTGATCTACACAGGACATGGCACAGTCGCCATTTCAAGATTATTGAGTCGGTTTATATTAAGAAACAGAAACCAGGTCAGTGTAAGCAAAAAGAGCATTTTATACGCTCATTATGTTAAGTTGGAGGGTTGTAACGTGTTTTTTCATTTTATTTTGGCCATTTTAATACTGACTTTAAACATTTAATCATTTTCATTCGGAAATTATTTTAATAATAAATTGTTTTTAGTGTGTTCCTAAGTATCCCCTCTGCTTTCACTATTTGTTTGCTTTTCTGTAAAGATCATTTCGTGTTTCGTCTTATTTATACCAACGGTTTCCCTCTGAAGAAGTGTTGGTTGTAATAATCCTGAAGATACAATAATGAATATATCTATGAGCCTTTTCATGTCAGTAAATTTCATCTATGGTATATCAAGACTTTGTTCATATATATATATATATATATATATATATTATATATATATATATATATATATATATATATATATATATATATAACCTTCCGTGTATTGATGTTAAAGTTTGAGAGTATTATACTATAGCTGATGAATTTTTTTTTCATTTCCCAAGTACTTTCGATCTATCCTGCACCATAAAAAAAGCAACTCTAGATTAAAAATACTTGAAGCAATTTATATTAAAAAAAATTAAAGCCGGCTCTGAAGAAAATCAACTATAAATGCTGCAGTAATATTTTGAAATACCTGTAACGTAACAGTTTTTATGCTTTAATGTACGCGTGATTATGACATTATAATATAGAAGAAAAAATCCATAATGGTACATTTTTTCACGTCGTAATGAACGCTCAGCACATTGTCAATAGTTCTGCCTTTAAAAGCATAATGAAAAAATTGCAGTCATGGATGACAACGCAAAAATTGTATAAATACTTATACTATTGAACAACATATAGTTTTGTACAACTTGCACCCCAAAAGATGATCTTGACAGAAGATCGAAAGTATTTGAAATGAAAATAAAAGAAATTTAAACAGCTACAGAACATTTCTCTCATCCTTTAACATCACTACACGGAAGGATATTCGTGAGTATGAACGGATTTTATTAAAAATTAGCAGACATAATGTCTGTAATTTATTTCAATATATATATATATATATATATATATATATATATATATATATATATATATTGTTCCAACAACTTGAACCGATTTTAAATTTAATTCACATTTAAAAACAGACAGACAGACACACACACACACACACACACATATATATATATATATATATATATATATATATATATGATGTTTACGCATTTATTGAAGAAGTAAAAAAAGACTCCTCAAGACATCATATATATATATTTATATATATATATATATATATATATATATATATATGATGTTTACTCATTTATTGTAGAAGAAAAAAGTCATCTCGTTCTACATATTTATATTATATATATATATATATATATATATATATATATATATATATATATATATATATATATATATATATAACATTTAACGGTGGCAGATCTATAGCCAGTTAAAAAAATCCCATCAAAATTAATACAATTCTCTGGCATTTCTAAATACTTATATTCACATGGAACATGAAATATTCTCCTAAAATCTAAGCAAAGCCTCTATGCTAGACGAATAATTCAGACGAAAATTAAAACACTTCATAGAGAAGTACAAATTACACAATATGACAAAATTCTGAACAATAAATTAATATCCAGAAAAACTAATTGCGAACATTGCTTAAAAATTTGAGATGTTTTCTATATAAAGCAAAACAACCAATAATTACCAAAGAAAAGTATGTTTCTTGAACAGACATTCTAAAATGCATTTAATTTCTCATAGACCATATTACGTCACGTTCCCAAGACAGAACACAAATTTGAATAAAAAAATATCATCACAAATTTTCAAAACGTAACAGCCAAAAATATCCCAAAGGTACAACCGTTGATTAAACAAAATTTTAAATTTGAATTTCATTCATTATTCCGATAACTGAGTCCATTCGAATCATGTGAACCTTAACTTAAAACAGTCTGTGGATTGTTGTTATATGACTTTAACATAAACAAGTTGAATTGGTATAACTTATGCATTATCTCCAAGACAATAACTGAATCATATTTTTATGTATGCATATATATATTTGTGTGTGTGTGTGTGTGTGTGTGTGTGTGTGTGGTGTGTGTTGTGTGTGTAGAAAACGTTCAAAAATTTTCATTTTTTCATTTCAATCATTCAAACCTTCGCTTCAATTCGACTTAGACGACCTTGAACGTAGGTATTTTGAGCGCCCAATTTTCTCACAAAAATAAACATTTAAAAACAAAAACAAA